CACACAGAGGCAATGGGTAAACTCAGAAATGGCCTTTGGTATAGAAGCGTTTTTATATTAAATAATAAACAAAACAAAGTTTAAAAAGTTATCAAATGTTTTTTCCAGTTGCTTGTTTCTCAGAGTTGTCAGATTTATTCCGACAACTCTGAGAACTGTTATAACACACTTTGGATTTATGTCGACACAAGTGATCTATTTGTGATATGGATAAAAGAGTAATGTATTTTGTCCATATAAAAACAAACTTCCAGTCAAATATAAATGAATAATATATCGTGGGTAATCATAATGCAAGCAAAGTTTTATCAATTCAATTTTAATATTTATTTAATCAACATTTACATGACGGTGTTGATAACTCTAAACTGAGATCCTCCCATTCAGACTCTCTCAGATATTCTTTTTGACAGTAAAAATTCTTCTATTTATTTGAATACGTCAGTACATTTAATGTCAGCTTTTGTGACTTTTGTGATAACACATATGTTGACTGTTTACCTTCTCTCTAGCTTTAATTTTAATCTAAAACCCGACTTTGACATATCCTACAAGACAATTGTAATTACCGGTCAAGGTGATTGAATTCTGATCAGAAAAAAATCAGAAAATCCTTCAACATATGATTAAGAATATTTTCAAAAATGTACAGCCATACCAAAATCCAAACCTTATCTAGCAACTTTATACAGTTTACGTTTAGTTCCACTTTCAAACTTAACAAAAAGCTCAAGTCGGGTTGTTTGTCTTTTCTCAAACTAAATAAGTGATTCTCTTACCTTTATATCGTAAAATTGAGAATATACTGTTTCTTCATCATATTGTAGCTCTTTTCCTTCCATAGGCGACTCTACTCCTCTGTCGTTTAGTTCACAAACTCCCTCAGTCTCGTCCAAATTGGAACTTTTCCGGAAATTTGTTGAAACGCATCGAGGGTTTCTTTGACACTTCAAGCCACAAGATACCAGACTGACAGAGTGAAATGTGTTGAAGGTGAAGCCTTTAAGCCGGCGATGATTACGAGTTATTACGGGACGAGATAAAGAGTTTTCATCCCAAGCAATCGTTTCAGATACAAATATTTTACACAATACTACAAAGACGAAAAGTATAGAATTCATTTTGAATTTTTCTTTGACGGCAAAACTGATCCACCGTGTTTTGATAATGCTCGACAAAAGAAGTACAACTTGTTTTTTTTTAAATTACTAATGTTTACATTAACAACTATATGAAAAGAGAATTAATTAAGGTATAAAAAATATTACTGAGAAACGCAAATGTTATTACCACTGACACGAAATGATGGTATGTGTAATAAAGCTTGGTTAATCTACTACCCAGATCTCACTCTGACGCTGGAAACCGTGGGAGACCACGTAGGGTTGGTTTCGAGGGATTGTTGAAAACAAGTTGCAATAAAAACAATTGGACCATCAATACTTGACATTTCTTGGAAAATTTTGTCGTTAGAGTGTAAAGAATTTAACAAATGGAGTCACAGTAAGTTTCTTGTGTAGAAATCGAACCTGTATGACCTCAACTCACAGTGCTCTAGTCCACTTAACGTCTTTTTCGATTCGGCAAATGTTTTCTCCGGCCTGCTGTCTTGTCACTGTGTCATCATTCATGTTGTCATAGCAACTGAGCATACGCCTTTGATCTCTTACGTGGTACAATTCGATAAATTAAGTACTGCTGAGATGACTCAGCTGTAACATTGAAGGATTACGTGGAGGATAGTTACGGCATAAATTCAAAGGATTGAGTATTTCTAGACCCTCCTGGGATGTCCGAAACTAGGACAACATTCTGAAAAAAAACTTATTTTACTGTTGTCTTTATTATGCCAAAGTCTGATAAAGTCACTTTCCATGATTCTAAAACAAAAAATGAAGCCTACCGGTGCTATTCCTCACCCCAAGCCTCTCTCTCCCTTATTTCCCTCCGCCGTTTTTATGCGGTGCGCCCCAGATAACTGAACGCCTATAAGAGGCTATCTGATGGTTAGTCAATGTGTTATGCTGATATCATTTAACCAACATGCTAGACGTATCCACGATTATTTTACTAAGCGTACGTGTATTCAGAGCACAACTGTCATTGAATAGATCAGTGCTTATATATTTTCTCATGACTCAGTGCTGGAAAATCTGCGTTTACGTATACTAAGAATCTTTAACACGAAAAACATATTATTCTCACTGCCGTTGAAAGTTAATTTCTGAATTTAAAGTTTAATACTAAGCTAACATATGCAAAATTTTACACGCTATTGGGCGTTACCCCTGAAATATTTAGCCATGACTCAAAACGTCCACTGCCGGTTTGAATAAGGAAATTGTTATTTTGATGCGTTCTTCAACTTTCTTTACGACAATTTTGTCCATCGCAAAAACAGTCCAAGGTTTATTTTGTCAGTTCGGTGCGGTCTCAGCCATCATTTTGTGATGTTTGTCGAGGAGCCAATAAATTCCAGATTTCCTCGCAACAGTCCGCTTTTCGCTACACTAGTTCAATCGACCATCCAAGCTGACTCCTGCAGCGTCCCACTATGATCCTGTAGTGAAGGAGAAAGAAAGGTAGGAAAAGGGTTTATCTTTGTCTTTGTTGTTTCTTTCCAAACCACAAGTACGTTCCCTTGATTTCAGTGACGGTTCACTTTTAGTTATATATTATCCTTGTTATGCGTGTCGGACAACCTGTAATAAGCCGGAAAATAAATTGCATCAATTAGTTTTGAATTGGCAGAATATAATTAGAATATCAACTAATTTCTCCCACGCTTTCTCCCGCTCAACACCGTGTCACTATTTGCAATGGTTATTGGTGTCATTTGAGATAACCTCAGCTCACCCCTTGATGTGCAAATATTTGCAATGTTGCTTCTCTGTGCAAACCAAAGATGGCGGGAAAATGTCTTCAAAGCCTTTCGGGCAAGACTTCCCTTGCATTTATTTGTGAACAATTCTTTCATCAATCTCATTTAAGTCAATTTTGACCTCGTCCCATGGGTCGGGCATTTGCTGTCTTCCCGAAGCTCCTCCGCGGGGATTTGTACCAATGTCCTGTACAAAATTTGGGGGAGGAGAGATAAGCGGGCTTAAAATTGTCGGAGCTATAAAGCCTGGGAACCTGCACGTGGGGCTTCATTCCAAAGCCTGATCAATTTTGCGTCTGTATTCAGTTCAGCGAACTCCTCGTTATTGAATATGCAGTTTTAAAGATCACAAGTGGCTTTAACTTACCTTAACAAGTATAGAGTTCCATTCTCATTGATATGTGTCCATACCATTTCGTCGGACGAACTCGAATGTAGCGAGCTTCGATGATCGGGTTCAGGTCATGATAAACAACTGTGTCCATGTCTGTGTTCCCTTGAAATAGCTGAGTGATACAGAAAATCTCTAGATGCAAACTGTATTTAGCAGAGACTCTGAGTAAAATTGAAAATCATCAGTTTTCTTCATTAGGCAGTCTCTGAATTTCCCACTGCGTTTCCTGTTCGGCTTTCAACTTAATTTTTTTTTTCAGAATTATCAAGCAATCATAATTACATTGTAGAATGAGGCTTAGCCTGTGTGGCAACCGTAAACGGGGAAGGAGCAAGTTAGTAGGGGTGTTTGGAAAACCCGACTGGTAGCGAATATCGAATAGTCCCGAACAGCGAATAGCGAACAGTACGAATAGTGCGAATTGTTGCAAATCGTAGCAAATAGGGTACCCAGTATCTCGCAGTCAACTTCGCAGCAAAGTGGGATGGGATTTTCCCGCTAAAAATCACAGACGCTTATCAGGACAAAAGGTGTTTCTAAACGTATTTTTTTCTGTTTTCACCTCTGCAAAAGCGTAAATACGTCTTTATTAGATCTTATTAGGTTATCCTTGTGTTTTCCGTTTTCTTAATGCCGGTGATGGACAACCCTAGCCTGAGTCCTGAAAAGAAAGGGTAATAAATTCACTGAAATTCTGTTGCTTATTTGGATAATTAATTAACGCAAGATAAAGCTTAGATGTTTTTGTTTTTATAACCGGTTATCAGAGTAGCTAATTTGTGTCTTTTCAGTTTATAAACTAACCACAGACCACTTGCCTCATATTTGCATTTTATTGCTTTTTCACAAAACGTGCTTGGTCGAATTTATCAGCGTCCGCGGATAAACACCATTGTTCCAAATGATCGATTTCAACGAATCCAGATCAGTTTTGAACTTAAGTGGCGACTATTGACGACTATTCGTCAATATTCGCGATTGTTCTCGACTGTTCGCGACTATTCTCTGATCGGGTTTTCCAGACACCCAGTAAAGAGGCATAAAACGCACCTCCCCTCCTTCCATCCGCGCTTTGCCTCCCCTTTCCCTGTTTAACGCCATCTACGCACACTTAATGAGGCTAAAAAGTAAAAACAGAAATTCCCAGGAGTGGATGTTCATGAGATGTACGGACGCTCCGTATGATAAGCATCACAAAGTGACCGAAGAGTCTTCACCGATAAATGTCCACCAATGCATGCATAGTTCTTGTCCTTTAACAAATGAAGTAATGTGGAAATGTCAAATAGCCCAGCGAAATATGAAGTACTTATCAAACAGGTCTTGCGTTCAGTCGTCATGCAGGAGATAGGTGTAAACAGTCAACACTAATGGGACATTTTCTTTCCTGACGTGACCTAAAAAATTTTGCTATATTTTGTAACATGAAGTACACTGTGTTCGAAACGTCACGAAATAGAAATACAAGTGTGTTCTCATTTCAGTAGAAAATACATTGCTTTCTCCCCTGCAATGGTTCGGACATTCGTTATAGGAATCTGCTGCTGTGCGTGGCGAGTACAGGCGCAAACTCAAATGCATTGATCGGGCGGCGAGGCTCCCGCGTCTACTTCCGTCGCCCTTTACGTAACCCTGCGCCGACAGTCACGTCATTCAGTTGATTCTCTCCATCTAAAAACACTTACGAGCTTCTGTAGAGTAAAGAGGAGCATAAGGAAGCTGCTCCAAATTTTAAAAGTTGCCCTAAATTGGAAAAGTTACCCAACAGTCGCCGAACATCTTAGGGACAGCCCTATAAGTACCAGCTAGTACCTCCCCCCCCCCCCCCCCCCCCCNCCCCTCCGCCCCACCCCGGCAGCTACTGAATCATACCGTATCTAAATGTTCTCCATTTTGCCTGTAAAACTTGAAGGTGTATCCATCTTCACCGTACTGCAGCTTGTATTGTGTAACCCACTGGTTGTAAGCATTCCTTCCTTGTGTCGCTATTCCTGTTATTCTTGTCGTTTGTTGAAGATCCACCTGCAGCCACTGACTATTGTCATTAAGCAGAGATGACCAGCTACCAGTCTTTCCCCCTCCAGCTTTGAAATGTAACCTGGCCTGCTGGGCGGCATGATTTGCCCGCCAAGTTGACGAGGCGCTTATTTGAGAGTCATGAATAGCTCCGCTCTCCATTCCGAGGGGTACTGGAGTACACACTGCGCGAAAACAAATTATTTTCAACATCAAAAAGCTGTTAACGTTAAAATTGTTTTGTGCATAAGTGTTCCTGATGTGAAGTTTACATGAAATAATTCATATATGAATAGTGTTCCTGATATAAAACTACGGACAGAATTTAGTGGTGGGGCAGGTAGAGTGAAATCTCATTCTTTTTAAAGCGTTCACAATTCAATAAATAAAACTTTGCTTTGATTTTTTCCATGTTTATACGTATTTTGGCTTTCTTGCAGTTTCCTCACTATAAGAAATGCAGAACAGAGACGAAAGACCAGAGTTCTCGGTTCTTGGTTCTCGGTATTTTTCTCTGTACAGTGGCATTCATAGTCAGCACGATTCCTAAACATGACACGCCATTCAAACAAGGATCACCTACACAGCAGTTAATAAGTACCTTCAAGAGATGAGACCTACCATTGTGATACCTCTTTATTAAAGTGTTCAACATTGAATTGCCCCAGTGTGTTTTCAACAAATATTCACTCTTCGCTCAACAAACTTCGGTAAAACACCCTTTGAAAACACGTTTGCTAAGAAAATGTCAAGTCATAATGTGATCAAAAAGGGCGACATAGCAAAATATTTCCTAATATTTTAATGAAAAGTCACAAACAAAGTTTGACAACAATAGTTGAGTGCTGTTTAAGAAGTTATCAGCGAAGGCACTTTTAAGTCTTCCATCCACCCTCCACCCTCCCCCTCCCCAACCCCATCCTCAGGCTAACTAGGGTTAATTACAATTAATATCACACCTCGGCAATAATTTCCATTCCAGGCCTCCTCACACTTGCATTTGAAAACTTCAGACCCTCCAGTGAACACGCATGAACCTGCATTCAAGCAGCCAGTCAGCTGACAGTCGTGCTGCATAAAAGTGGAAAATAGCCGTTATTGCTAGGCAAGGGTTTATAGCCTCTTTCACAGTTATTTTTTCTTATCATTCAATGCATTTTTTCTTTCTTTTTATTGGCCGAGAGCCCACCACGTGACCTGCAAAATAACTGCCTACAAATAATGGTCTGCTCATGCGCAGTACCGTCTAAATGTGTTTTGCTGCAAATGATATTCTGCTCATGCGTAATTGCAACCACGCCCTTGTGTGAAAAATGGTGGATCGCTTCCCTGAACTGTAAGAGAGTGATTTGTATATGAAAACAAACTTGGTGACGTACCGAGTGGTAAAACAATTATTGAACTCGGTTATCGCAAGATATCATGATTTGTCAGTGTCTCGCAGATCAATAATTGATCTCCTCGCCACTGACAAATCACGATATTTTGCTCAGCCTCGTCCAATAATTGTTAAATTAATATTAGCCCCTTACCCGACGTGGATGCGGGGTTATCAGTCCACAGACCTTTTTTTTTCTGAGTTATTTTTCTTTAATTCGAGCGCAACGCTCGAGAGAGACCGCGAGGTGGGTGAAAAGATTAATATTTTTACTTTTCCCAGCCTCCTCTCCCTCCCCTTTGCGTTTTCGCTCGTTCCTATCCCCCGCGGTTAATATTTTGCTTGCGATCTCGACGAAACCAACACAAAATAGAGGGTCTGTGGACAGCTTAGATGCGAGGCAATTTCATTAATATACTGATGAAATTGCTCGAAATCGTCTTAATCACGTTGGGTTATATCATGATGCAAATAAGAAAAAGTAACCGTCCAAAGATTATTCTGTTTTGTGTTGACTCTTTCGCTTCATTTGTATGGCTTCTTTAAAAAAAAAGAATATAAAGATAAGCATGTATTTAATTTTAAGAAAACGATTTTTTCGTATATAAGTGACATACAGAAACAAATGGAGTTATAGCAGAAAACAATAGCACTCGTCGGTTATGGCGATCAAACTACAACAAAAAAAAGCACTGATTTTATCTTTTTGTCTTAAAGTTTGTTATCAGACTACTAGGTAATTTTTTTTGTAATTCAGTAATTTAGTGATCTATGTATGATATGGATAAAAGTGTAATGTACGTAAAAGCATAATTCAAACTCGTCTTTGAGTCCTTTGACATATGCGATAAAACGGTAATTACCGGCCGACATGAATGAATTATGATCCAAAACTGAAAAACCTGAATGAACGAACGAACGAACGAACGAACGAACGAACGAACGAACGAA